CATGTAAGTATCCCGATCTCTCAATCTCCTGCGATGTCGCCGCATCCATGATCCTTGAGCACGGGGGTCGGCATGTGACGTGACGTCACCTGCGCCCCGAAGGAGTAGTCCCGCCATGCCAGACATTGCAGCTGAGGTACACGTGAGGCCCGGAGAGTCAGGAATCGGGACCGCGCAGAACGCCATTGGCAGCAACTGTGAGTTTACGACGCGGCAAGGAGCTGATGTGGTGGTTGTTTCAACAACTGCGATCTGGATGGTCAAGGAAATGAGGAACTAATGATGGCTGCTTGCGCGTGCGCTGCTTGGTGTAGCTGGCGCCAGCGGAGCAGCAAACGAGGCTGATGATGACAGCCCTACAGCATGCACACGCGTGAAGGGTTGGCTTGCACGCACTCCAAGGATCACCTCACCACCACTTCCCCGGTGTGATAAATTACTCGTAAGTCTCCTTAACCAAGCCTTCTTTTATTAACTTAGGCATCTTATTACAACTCACCACTAAGTTCGAAACTTAAGTCAAGTTGGGTACAAGAACTTTGGGTGAAGACATATTGAGATGGAATCTAGTGGGGGGGAGCGTACACTGTTCAAGTGAAAGTATGTCTAGAACAAGGCATACAAGGGAATATAACCTAATGGGTTGTACTCCCTAAGGCACAACCCTATATAGTCTACAGAAACATACAATACATGTTTGACACACCCCTAGACTGGATAGGGGCAGTGCCCGATGGAGAGAAACAGCTCAGGGTGGCACTACTAGTCCAGCCTCTGAGGCAGGGGTCTAAAGACCAATCAAACTGTTGTGATAGTTGAAGTTTTGCATTCCTGCAAGTTCCGTTTTTTGTATAACTAGCAGTATCGCGTTTCTCAGTAAGCATCCATGCCCGAGTGCTGATGTCAGCAAAACATTGCGGGTGTCGGGGATGACGCCAGCATACCGCTTCAGTTACGCGAATAGGCGTAACGAACCGTTTTCAGTCACGCGAACAGTCGCGACCCTATAGAATGACGAATAGGTCGCATAGCGCGCAACTAGCCGAACAGGTACTTTCCTAGAGCTATAAATCCTTGTAATGCCTTTCTATTATGAACCTTAACTTTACACAGAATTATGTGCTCAGGTTATTCAACCTTCGACTACCCACAAGTTCATGTGCTCAGGTTCACTCTGATAAGACTTCCGCTGTCTTACTAGTCTACCATTCCATTAAAGATCCTTGGTTAAGTACTCGTGCCCGCATATTCTATACTTAGTCACCTGCAACACCTGTCAAATTATTTCACAAACAAGTACAGACAAGGCAAGAGCAAGACCAGGTTGGCACGACTAGTGCAGAGTTTACTGCTATAACGGGAGCTTCTGCGGAAGTGCCTGACGCAGATAGAGCTCTCTAGCTCTGTCGTTCTCTAAGGAGAAAATTGCCTTCAGAATTGTGTGATTTACTGAGTAGCTTTTGAGAAAGCTTGGGCACACAAATTCACTATAATCAATATTACAAAGTATGAACACGGAGAGAACGTTCGCACGAGAACGTTTACATAATTACTTTAAGCTACGCTTAGCCAAGTCAGCAATGGCAGGTGAAAATTACAGCACATGCTTAGGTGGTAATTTTTACCCACTCACAAGTAGTTATTTTAACAGTTTCAGATATGAAACTGTCAGATGTTACGCACATTTCCGCAGTAACGAAATGTGCGCTACGTGTTCAATTTCTCAATGTCGCAGGTAGATTTTGCCGTTTTTCGGTTCAGATCGGTTCTGTGGTTAACTTACGAAATCGCAAATTTCTCGCGATTTCGGAACGTCACCTTCATCAGAAAAACGAAGTCCCCGTTTTTCTGTCGAAGGGGTCGCTCGCATAAGCGAAGTCCGAGATGACTCTCTGCCGCGCTTCTGCCGAATTTCGTCTCTGCCGAGGGGGTCGACAACAGAAGAGATGGCCGAATTGCCTTTCTGCCGAAGAACGCAATTCTGCACGAACAGGTTCTTGCGCCACTCTGCCCGAGGTCCTGTTGGAACGTATTTCCGAGAGTCGTTTCTGCCGTGAGGGTCGCCTGCAGAAATATCTTCTGCGCGATACTTCGGCAGAGGACAACCCATCTGCGAATGACCCCTGATGCCGATTCGGCAAAGGGTCTTATACACTCTCGATTCTGTCGATACCACTTCTACAAAAGCACATGTCGATGTAGAAGCCATTTGTAGAAAAGGCGCTCCTGTTCTGCCACTACGAGCCTCGCCTTGTCGACGAATCTGTTATTCGTCGATGGGCCTTTCTGCAGGGCTCGTGTCCGCAGACTTCGTCGATATGCCGCTTCAGCAGACTTCTGCAACCTTCGCATGATCAGGGCTATTCTCAACAACTAGACCAGCCACTAGGAAGAGGCCACAAGGCCAGTCACGGTAATATATATAAAGGTCTATACACAATCAAGGTCCTAGCAAGTGAGAGGCTACAGGAACGAGACCTAGCTGTATACAGTGCCGCTGATGATCTTTAGGCGCAAGCGCCTTAGTAAAGATATCAGCTGTGTTGGCACCTGAGGCCAAGTGTACTACACGAGCCTGGCGACGCTGCTGCAGCTCACTCAAGAGGAAGTAACGAAGCTGGATGTGCTTCGATATGCCCTCAAGTCGTGGCTCCTAACACAGGAGGATCATGACCCTGTTGTCAGCATACAGAACCGGGACAGAGCTAGGCCGCTCACCCAAGTCGGTGAGCAAGAAAGGTCAGTCAGCGGAGCTCTGTGCCGCCATGGCACCTGCGTAGATCTCAGCCTCATAGCTAGACTGGGCAACAGACGAGGAACAGGTGGACCTCCACGAGATGGCACCTGCACCAAGGCTAAAGGAGTAGCCCTGTGAGGATCTGAGATTCTCGGCGTCGTCTGCCAAGAAGTGTTTGTATACCCGGTAAGGACCACTGGTCTCCATCCTCCTAGCACTAGCCCCATGCCCGGTACTTGCTAGATATCGCAAAACCCTCTTAGCTGCCGACCAGTGCTGTGGTCGGTGCCTGCCTGGGGCCACAAAGTGAGCCTAGATGCTGAGAGGATATGCGAGATCTGTACGAGTGCAAGTCATCAGGTACCGTACATGAGGCAACCCACCAGCTCTGCGTAGGGACCACTAGGCTCTACAGCCTCCTCAGGGACTCGAGCAGAGAGTCTGTGGTCTACTGACAGAGGGGTGCGCTGTGCGGAAGAGAACTGAAGGCCGAACCTCTGAAGGACCTGGCGCACCAAGTGTGACTGTGAGAGAGTGATGGTGCGCGCTGCTCTGTCCCTAAAGATCTGCAAGCCAAGGTAGCGGCGCAGCTCTCCTAGGTCAGTGCAGGTGTGGCTCCTCAGCAGCTCAGCCTTCACGGCGGCCAGTGCGTCTCTGTCTGCAGTAGCAAAGACCAGATCGTCTACGTAGACAAGGATGTAGAACGAAGTCTGGCCGGAACCGACATGGAGCGAGGGGTCCGCAGACGAAGGGAAGAACTTCAAGTCAACAAGTGTAGCACGCAGCGTGTCGTGCCACTCACGGGGTGCATGTCGCAAGCCGTAGACGAGGTGCCGGAGGAGCTACTCAGTGTCAGGGGGGAAGGTACCGGAGAAGCCCTCGGGGCGGCGCTGGTAGACCTGCTCGTGTAGACTGCCCAGGAGGAAAGCTGTGGAGAAGTCGAGGGAGTGGAGCTCGTAGTCACGCAGTGCTACTACGTGTAGCAGCGCCCGAAGAGTGGTCATCTTCGGGGTCGGGGCGAAGGTCTGAAAGAAGTCCAACCCCTCACGCTGACTGAAGTCGCGAATGACGTAGCGCGCTTTGAAGACATGCGGCTCTTCAGGAGGGCGCTTCACCTTGAAGAGCCACCGGCCATCGACTACGTTCACCCAAGGTGGGGGAACTACGTCGACGGAGGTACCGATGGATCTCCAAGATGCCATCTCCTGCTCCATGGCAGCTATTAACTGAGAGGCCCAGGGTCCCGAGGTGGCCTCAACGTAGGTGCGAGGAGTCGGGGTGTCAAGGGCGTCTGGGTCACCCTCAGGGACAAGTAGCATGGAACAGAGAGGGGGAGCAGCCTCAGACAGGAAAGCGAGCTCAGACTGCCTCTCCGTTAGGACGTCACTGCCAAGAACAGCCACACCCCCGACGGGCGGAGGGCAGGCACGGTCAGAGACCAGAGCGGTGGCATAGTCTAGGCGGCGGGTAGCAGCGAAGTCAGTGACAGCAGCGACAAGAGCCGACAGACTCGAGACAAGAACGGACGGGTCCATAACGAGAGAGGCAACGACACGAGGAACAAGGGAACGTGTAGCACGGGGGAAGTTTGGCAGCGGAGGCGGGGCCATAGCAAGCAACGACGGAAGAGGAGACGGGAGGAGAGGAGGAGCACGAGACGCGTGAGAGCGAAGCAACATAGGGTGAGAACGCGGAACAAGGGAGGTAGGAGGAGCACAAGACGGACGACGAGACCAGACGTGAGACAGAGGAGTCGGGTCAGGAGAGAGGGGAGGAGACACAGGAGGAGAACGGGGAGGGAAACAAGCCGGGGAGGAGTCCGGGCCGTTAACCGGCAGAGGAGGAGGCGGTGGCAGCGGGGGAGGCAGCAATGGGCGGTTGAGGGAAGGGAGACCAAGGAGGCAAAGAGCGGACATCAGCGGCGACAGTTGCGACTGCTGCCCGAATCCAACACCAGAACCTCCAGCAACAACACGGCTCGGCCTTCACGGAGGCCAGCGCGCCTCTGTCTGCAGTAGCAAGGACCAGGTCGTCTACGTCGACAAGGATGTAGAACGTAGTCAGTCCGGAACGTACGAAGAGCGAGGGGTCTGCAGACGACGGGAAGAACTGCAGGTCAGCAAGTGTAGCACGCAGCGTGTCGTGCCACTCACGGGGCGCCTGGCACAAGCCGTAGACGGGGCGTCGGAGGAGCCACTCGGTACTAGGAGGAAAGGTACAGGAGAAGCCCTCGGGGCGGCGCAGGTAGATCTGCTCGTGTAGACTGCCGTGGAGGAAAGCAATAGAGAATTCAAGGGAGTGGAGCTCATAGTCACGCAGTGCTGCTACGTGTAGCAGTGCCCGAAGAGTAGTCATCTTCGAGGTCGGGGCGAAGGTCTGGAAGAAGTCCACCACCTCACGCTGACTGAAGTCGCGAGCAACGTAGCGCGCCTTGAATACAGGCGGCTCTTCAGGAGGGCGCTTCACCTTGAAGAGCCACCGGCCATCGACTACGTTTACCCCATGTGTGGGAACTGCGTCGACGAAGGTACCGGTGGATCTCCAAGATGCCTTCTCCTACTCCATGGCAG